ATTTTTGGTATGATGTAGTTCATATGATTCAATTACATATTGGCATTGCGTCAACCCCCAAAAATGAACATTTTTTTTGCTAGGGGGGGTTGAATTCACATTTTGACCGAATTGATTATTTATTTCTGAGAAAATAAACAATATTCTTGAATTTTTCATTTCATATAATTTCTCCTATGAATATATGCTTTTTGAAAAAAATATAGTTAGGGGGAATTATTACCCCAAACTCCCATTTTGAAAAACGAAAAAAAATGAGAATTCGCCTAACCGTCGAAAGTGATAGAAAATGTTCCATTACCCAGAATTATAGAAACCGCCTTTTTGTATTATTGCCCCTCACCGAATGGGAGGCGCCCATTAAAAAAAAGTTCGGTGGATTTCGCTGAATTTTTGATATGATGTACTCTATATGATACTGATCAGAAAATAATTGGGTGACAATCCTGAAAAATGGACAGTTTTCCTGCTACAAGGGGTTCAATTCACATTTTGAACACATAAATAGACTAGATGAGTACCTATTTGATTCTGAACTCCTTTTCAATATATCATCTCCATTCCCTATATTCTCTAACAATTATTCATCGAGAAATATTTATATCAAGCTCATTGAGTGAAGAATATTTCTTAAATAAGTGTTGGATATATGAAAAAATAGCTTGAATTTGATATCTATTATTTGTTTGAGAGGTGTTGGGGTGGGCGAAATAATGAGTTTTTTGTGTTGAAAAAAAAAATAGCTAAAATACATATTACATATTCTGTACCCGTCAAGAAAAATACACATTCTTCTCGAGGTAATCTCACAAAGGAGATATATGAGTTCAACACGCCCTACCGAAAAAACTGCTCATTTTTGGTAACCGGTACCGATAATCGGAATCGGAATTGATCGGAATCACAAAAAGCACCTCATAGAAATTCAGTGGAAATCCATGCACCAAAAATGTTTTTCATGCGCACCCCCCACTTGGTGGAGAGGGAGCAATCATGCAAGAGAGCTTTTGCTATAATTTCACGTAATTAATCATTCTCTTATGCTCTTTAGATACAGTAGCACTGTTTTTTTTTGTTTTATATTTCTCAAGATACTTTTTGAAGGGGTAGGAACCCCCCCTCAAAATATTTTTTGATGAATAATTGTTAGGGAATATAGGGAATGGAGATGATACATTGAAAAGAAGTTCAGAATCAAATAGGTACTTATCTAGTCTATTTATGTGTTCAAAATGTGAATTGAACCCCTTGTAGCAGGAAAACTGTCCATTTTTCAGGATTGTCACCCAATTATTTTCTGATCAGTATCATATAGAGTACATCATATCAAAAATTCAGCGAAATCCACCGAACTTTTTTTTAATGGGCGCCTCCCATTCGGTGAGGGGCAATATTACAAAAAGGCGGTTTCTGTAATTCTGGGTAATGGAACATTTTCTATCACTCTTGACGGTTAGGCGAATTCTCATTTTTTTTTTTCGTTTTTCAAAATGGGAGTTTGGGGTAATAATTCCCCCTCACTATATTTTTTTCAAAAAGCATATATTCATAGGAGAAATTAGATGAAATAAAAAATTCAAGAATATTGTTCATTCTCTCAGAAATAAATAATCAATTCGGTCAAAATGTGAATTCAACCCCCCCTAGCAAAAAAACTGTTCATTTTTGGGAGTTGGCGCAGTGCCAATATGTAATTGAATCATATGAACTACATCATACCAAAAATTGAGAAAAATCCACCGGGACCCAAATTACCTTGAGAATTTGCGGGGTCCAAATTTGTTCTCTGTCGCATACCGTTTCCATCTCAGATCGGTGTACATTTTGAAATTGATTATTGAAATTCACGATTCTTCATAACATGGAAAACGTGACGACACGTGACGTCATACCTATACTGCGATCAACCTTTTACCATTATATACGATTCGACTTATATATTCAGTATATTTATGTTAGTACAATCCTACTGTGGATTTGAATTCTAATCTCCATGTAGAATGTGAAGATAGATATTTTCATAAGTTTTTAAACAATGAAACACTAATAGTGGTTATATCGGTGTGTCATGTCATCAAGAGGTGATTATAAATTCGACTATAAATTGTACAGGGTAGCCAACTAAGAAAGCATATAGAGCTGTATCTGAGAAACTATCCATGAGAGGCTTGCGGAGAGAGAATCATCGCTAATACGGCTGAGAGAAAAACCTGGAAAAAAGTGTCTCACGCTAGGAAGCGTGTCTACAATCTTGAATCAGAAGAGGTGATGTTTTTGTGATTTTCACAATATTATCTAACAAAAAAATCCTCGATCTTTGAAGTGAATGATGATATGAACCTTCTTTGTTCAATAATGTTTGCTGTATCTCTAGAAATATTGTGTTCACGAGTATAAGAAAGGTTTCCGTGAAAACATCTTGTATCTTGGAGACGGCTGAGCCGATTTTCACAAACTTCAGTTTGGAAGAACCATCCTTGAACAGCAAATTTTTTTTATCGCTCGGAGCGCACGAAAGGGAATCCCTATAAGTTCAAAGAACATCGTACGTTCCTAGGGAGGATAGGGACAGGAGGTGGGTATTGGAATTTTTTTTTGAACTTCTGGAGGTTATATTAAATTTAGATTTTTGTAAGTACCACATGTTTAATGCAATATATCCGATTGCTTCAAGCACTGCAAATATCTAGCTTATATGCTGATGACTTCAAAATCTTCCTATAAGTGAGGAACACATCCGATTGCGACAAAATACAGAGGGATCTGCATAGATTTGGAACCTACTGTAGTAAGAATAATTTATTTGTCAACCCTGACAAATGTCACCGTATAACGTTCACGAGAAACATGAACGTATCTGTTGGTCATTATACTCTGAATGGAGTTGGACTGAAACGATGTAGCCAAGTCAGAGATCTAGGAGTCACATATGACAGTAAACTTTTATTTGACCGTCATCTATATGATTTAATAAACAATACTCTCAAGATGTTAGGATTTATCATGAGACAAACTAAATTTATATCATCTAACCCTCACGCGATATTAGTACTTTATTATGCTTATGTTTTCAGCAAACTCAACTCTGCCTCTTCTATCTGGAACCCTCAGTACAATGTTTATGTTGAGAGACTCGAGAATGTTCAGAATAAATTCCTGAGATATTTGTAATACAAAACACACACCCCCGTCGCTTCTACTTGTGATGATTACAAAATAATATCTTTAGAAAACCGAAGAATAATAAACGATGTGCTCAATTTGCATGAAATATTGAACGAAAAAAATTGATAGTCCTGCTATTTTGAACAGAATTAACATGAATGTACCTTCAAGATCACTGAGATATTACAATTTGTTTGATATTCCGTTCAAAAACACGAACTCTGCTAATGACTCACCAATCTGCAGAATGACTAAATCTTTCAATAAATACTTTCATGAATATGACATATTCAACACATCGTTCACTACATTCAAAAAATGTATTAAACGCCTTCTTTTAAATTCAAATAATCCCAATTCCAATTTATTATAAAAATCTGTATCCCATGGATGTCGGTAGATACATTAAGTAATTGAGTAATTATTTATGTGAATTATTCATGTGAACTAGACATTTATTTATGTGGACTGTCAACTTACTTATGTTAATTGTAGCTGTGAACTTATGTGTAAGTGAATCAACTTTAATATTACCACAATTGAGTCCCATTGAGTCATTACTATGTAAAATGCTCTAAGTTGAAATCATTTGTTATGCCGATTGACTTTTTGAATAACTGTTAAGTAAATACTGTCCTGGGCTTCTGCCTGTTGTATCCCAAATATATAAATAAATAAATAAATGAATAAATTCTTTGTTGAGATTTTTCTTCCTTGAAAATATTAATTAATAATGCCTTAGCAAGCTCGCGAAAACCACATGTCGATATATTTTTCCTAACCTAAAATTTTGAACGAAGAGAATGTTATACGAAAATCTCTTGAATTTTTAGTTTTGCAAACTAATAATTGTTTATATAACGTGAGTTGTGGTCCTAAAATGGACCGATTCAACAAAGGAAGGTTTTTTCATTCAGCCATATACCAGATCAATACTATAAAATTTTTTTTTCAAATTTGGTTGGGCCAGATCCGCAAGAAAGCAGTCGAAAAATCCATTGAAACTTGTTTCTTCCAATCCAAAAAATTGCGAATTCAGTGGTTGATTAGTAATATACGTAACCGCGAAGTCGACTGGAAGATAAAAGGACTTGCAGTTCTTTCCGGAGACGGTATTATTGACTCAATTTTCGGAACTATAGCCCAACAGAAGCCATCAACAGTGCATATATATGTGATATATATCCGGTAAAAAAGTACTGACTTTCTTTTTCTTCCTACGGTGAAGAAGTAATTCATGAAAAGTGATATTTTATAACCTGCCAACAGAGATGAAATGCCAAACTTCTTTCCCGTCACAGAAAAAAATTATTTAATTTTTGAAAATAGGTCATTTCATCGACATCGATCAAGGGTATACTTTGGTTTTTGTTCAATGTTTGAGATGAATAAAAACCATCATTCATGTTCTTCCACCATACAGAGTGTAAAACATCAAAACTATCGATGTGTTGAAGCTAGTTCGTTCCTGGCAATCTATGTAAGGCAAATGTGATGAAAAAGTCAAGTTTCTGGAAAATAATCTTGTACCCATCATATTCAAGAATAATCAAATCTCACCAAGGACTTCGAGTATAATTGAATGCAAATAAGATATCAAGGGGTGTCCTTTATGGGACCATATATCCGAACAGGAGGAGAGTCTGAGGGAAAAAGTTATAGAATCTAGCTGCATATATGCTATCTGAATTCAGATGATACATTTTGGAATACACCGTGAATTGGTCGTAAATAAAAGTTGACTTTTTTCAAAAATATGATATTTATTTTTTTAAAACACTTTTAAACACTTTTAAACACTTTTATTCAAACGTTAGATGGAAAAGATAATCAAATCATTGGTTGCTGTCACACCAATCGAATAGGATTGGGACTCTAGTGCTGTTGGCCAGCCAGAAGTCGTTGAGTCTGCCGATGAGCAGTGGTGATAGGCCAGTTCCAAGAACATGGTTCAAGTAGTTAGTGAGAGTAGTTGAAATAAGTGCACCTGCACCAGCATCCAAAAGCCCCAAACCAGTGACATGAGTCTGTAAAGAAGAAAATTTCCAGTATCCTACTCAGAGTATCCTCTTCTGATTCATTATTCCATTATCAATTATTATTAGTGGATAATGAACGATTCATGGAGTTTTCTCTACCTCAAGGATGAGAATTACTCCAAATATCGAATCATCCAAGGATTCCAGTAGAGCAGGAAGTCAAACACTCATATTTGAATAAAAGGAATAATTTGAATCGACTGTAGTTCTTTCACATTGTACAAGAGTACCTTCCTGCACATTCAGAATTCTATTCACAAAAGCTGCAGAATCTTCTGAGGAGGATGAAAATTCATCATTACTTTCATCCAGAATAGTCTATCGATATCAGTGGATCGTTCATTACACAGCAATTATTGCTCATCATCAGTACCAAACTACAATATCAGTCAAAGAAGTGATCGCAAACTGATTGAATTTCTCATGATGATCATGATAGTTACCGTGGCATTTTTGATCGATATTTCATTTCAAGCTAACGTAACCTTATGATGATTTTCCCGAACTTGGGAACGTAGGATATCTGAGAAAGATATCTTCTGGGGCAGCTACAAGGACTCAACTTCTGGATTTTCAGATACTTATGTCACGTTTACCGATTTGCTGCTGGATGGGCGATGTAAGATTGGCAATTTTCACTCATCTAGAGCCTGATGATTTTGAAAACATTCTCAGATCATTCAATCATGAACTTCCAAATGAAAGGTGGATTGTGAGACTCAACCCATGAGGGTGAGCCCAAATATTTTCATTAAGGGTCGATGTGACGACAACATACGTCCTAATCACATCAAGCCCAAATTTAATGTAATCAAACCCCATTTATCCGTCAGTACATATTCGACAATTCTTCATAGAGTTCAGTACATTACCATACTTTTATTTTTATAATTGGTCATGAAGACTGATGATATATTGAACCGACCGAATGTGTTATGTTGTACTTCGATCTCCATGAGTGCAAAGCGGCATTTTGATTGAATATTAGGACGGTCACTACGATGCTACGATTATTTATACAAAATCATGAAAATCATCCATATCTCAAAGTGGTCCAATGTAATTCCGAGAGAAAAATGAAAAAGAAACAACAGAAAGTCGGTCGACCACACTTTTCATAAAAATGTCCTTAAAGAGTTACCGGTTTCGGCACTACGGCCATCATCAGACAATGGTACCTGAAATAATATCAGGATAATAATGAGGACGAAACAATTTTTATAAACATACCGAACAATATGATACTCAAAGTGTAAAAACAATAAATCATGGTGAGTACAAACGATTCCCGTCAACGGGTTGGAAGAATCTATAGCATCCGTATAACTTTTCTAAATTCACTGAAGAGTCAGGAGAAACTGGCTCTGATGAGATTGTACATAATTTCGAGGAAAGTTGTTTCTATACGAACATCACCATCAGTTTGCCGTCAGTACTGAAATGAACTGGAATTGTAAAAATTGACAATAATTATAAAAGCAAAATGGCTTTGACGTTGGACACGTCAGGCACGAATGATTTGTGAGTGACATGTGCTTAACTGACACAATAGATCTTGAGGTAACATCAAGAAGAAATATGGTGGAAAGAAGATAACTAAGGCTGTGTCAAGTCTGTGGTTTGACCGGGCACATACGTTCAGTATGAAGTCTGACCATCGGTTCGACCAACCAGCTAATCGGGAATATCGATCACGTTCCAAATCTCCCAACAAAGTAACCACGTTAACTTTTAATGGAAGTCGAGTCAATAACCATTAGCCATCTTGGCATCACCACTGTGGTCGGACGAATGACTTGACACAGCCTAAGCATGTAGGAAACAGAGCATAGAAGAAGAAGAAGAAGAAGAAGAAGAAGAAGAAGAAGAAGAAGAAGAAGAAGAAGAAGAAGAAGAAGAAGAAGAAGAAGAAGAAGAAGAAGAAGAAGAAGAAGAAGAAGAAGAAGAAGAAGAAGAAGAAGAAGAAGAAGAAGAAGAAGAAGGAAAAGAAGAAGAAGAAGAAAAAGAAAAGGAAGGAAAGTGTAGCAATGAAATGAGGAGAAGGGAGAGAGGAAACAATCAGATATCCAGAGGCGGAGAGGTAACTGCAAAGCAGGGGAACATCACTAAAGAGTCATGAAAATTTTAAAGTCCTGAAAATGTGGTTACTTTCAAAATTGGTTTTATAGTTGAGAAATGAGACATTCTGGTTGTTGATGCATTTCTGAATTTACATGATTCCAAGCAGATTCAATCTATAGAATTTATCACAGATATAAAGGATTTCAGAATTACTGACAACATCAAGAGAATTATTGGAATCCATAATGTGATTGGCAAAAAAAGATGGGGAATTAGGGTCAAGAGAGGTGAAGAATTTGCCAATGAGTCAATTATGTTCAGAAAATCGAAAATCAAAACTGCTTCCTGGTTGACCTATATACACAGCATTACAATCAGTGTGAATCAATTTATGAACACCTGATCCCATTCAACAAAAAATCAGTTGTGTTGTTTCATTTTCATTTCTCTTATCAGATTATTTCCACATCATCACACGTTATGAATCATAAGTTAGTATGGAACTTCATTGTGTGAGTATCCACGGATACTTTGAACTAGTCCTGGTTATTTCGGAATGAATAATTCGATCTATGCATATAAAAATCATTGGAATGCGAATGAATATCAGGACATGATACTCACATCGATATCCTTAACAGTCCATGTGAGGTCCAAACTGCTGACTTCTTCTTTCAGGCCAAATCCTGGTTTAGTGAAATTGATTGTTCCAACCCAATCAGTATGGGTCCAGTTCAGGCTGGAACAGAAAAAAAAAGTTGGTCAGGATTTGACAAGATATTTAGCTCCTGAAAAATCATATACACTTTCGCTCAATGAGGAAGAACTCACTATAGGCAAGATGAACAACTCCTTATGACATATGTGATTTGAGGATTCAAATTCGCTTGTTATTCATTTGATAACTCAATATTCTGCTTCCTAATGAGGAAGAAAGAAGACATAGTCACCAAATTGATAATAAGTCCAACTAAACTATGACATATGAAGACTCAAATCAAGTAATAGGAAGTTTCTATACAGGAGTGTTTCTTGAGTTACAAAATATACTCATTATCTATCAACGATATTATACGTATAAGAAGATTTGACGAGCAGAGAAGCAAGACTGTGAATGCCTGAATAAATAACTGAATCATGGTGGAATGTGGAGCTATGTTCAGAGAAAAAAAGGTTGTTGCGTTTACTATATGGTTTTATCGCATATTACTCACATGATTTGACCATGGCTATTCTGTTCGACGAAACCAACATGGTATTGGAGACTGTAATCCATTGACATATTGAATGATTTCCAGTAGATATCGAAGTCGAAGACTGCGTGTGCATCAGTGTCTTCACTCAATTGTTTACCTACTTTGAGTTCCCAATCTGGAATTCCATACCATACGATGTTGGCAAGAGTTGCATTGAAGCTGAAAAATGTCGCATTATCATTCGATCGATATTGGAATCAATAATTTGAGGGGCTCATATTCTCTGAATCCATAACATTAGTTTCTATTTAATCAACTTACTCTGCTCCAAATGTTGCTCCATTGAAGCTCACGTTGTGTGGTATCAACAGTGGATTGTGTGAAGGTACTGGAACTGTTGGTACTCCATCAAGGATTGCTCTCTTACAACAGTCCAAGAGTTTATAGACCAATTCCAAATCAGCCCCACCTATGAAATGTAGTTAATTTGTTAGTGATCATTGTGATGGAAGTTAGAGGCTGTTAGATCTTGGAAAAATATATCAATAAACCTTTGAAATTTTTATATTCCATCCTTCAACACTCAATTACTTTCAAGTTGCATTCCTTCAATTAGGTATATAAAAAAATAGATTCTCTCTCGATTTCAGATATATGATTGATATTTTACTCACATATTCTCTCAAGACTACATGAAAAACTTTCAGAATATCAGTGCTTCACTCATTTGATAGTCTAATTCCACTATTTGAGTTGAGCTCACCCTATACTACAAGTTCAGGATTTCACTGAGAAAATACCATCATCAATCGAGAATATCAATATCGATATCCAGATTGATGATGTACGAATTCTCAACTTCTATGTATTACTTATAATAATTGTGAGGTAAGTAAGCAGCAATGCTTGCAATGATGATTGTAAACGTTCTTCTTACATCATAGGAAGAACCGTTATTGAAATATACACTCAAGAGGTATGCATGTGTTTCACATTATGATTCTTATAAAGAAACAGATAAAGATTTGGAAGAAGCTGAGGATGGCATCTTGTGGGATGAATAAAAATAAATGAAATTTTGCCATGGATGGAATGAAAATAACTATTCTTTTCGTCATTCAATATCGAAATCTAACTGATATATCGTTTTCTAAGGTTGTCTTGTTTACTCGAGATATCTATTGTGTCTTGAAGAAGTGTCATGATTGTATGTTCTCTGGAAATCATAAGGACATGAGTTGAAGAAATTGAATCATTTTTCATTCCGTTTGTTATGATGATGTGACACAATTGTATCAGAACAGAATCGGTCAGGTGAATCACTGTCGTTGCTATGCGTCAGTATTGAAAAAATGAGCAAACACCTGTTTCGGTTGATCTGAAGGGTGCGAATAGCAATGAAGGGATCACACAAAGGTGAACAGAAACGCTTCCTGAGATATACTGTTCTTCTGCTTTCATAATGTCAAATTGATTCGAAATTATTTTCCTAATACTCCGTAATAATTTTGGAACCCTGAGGAAATTCTACAATAAATTATTTCTTTGATGGTGCATAGATTTCGATTGTGAATATTTCGATGTTTTGCATTGAATACTGTCTGTATCGAGGGGATGGCATATTAATGATCTCAGATTTCTCGAGATTTCCTTCCTCCGTTTCCAAAGAAAGAGAATATGGTTATTATTCCAATATACGTGTTGTTATGACAAATCAGATGATTTGCCCCAAAATGGCACTGCTTTCGAAAATTTTCGTATCAGAAAGCATTTAAAAAACTGATTATCTTGTCAGCGACACTAGAATGAATCTTGAATTCTCACTCAATATATTCTCATTTTATAGTAACGAGAAGGAAGAATAACAAAAAATCTAGAATGATAATTTGCATTCAATCTGTCAGAAAAGTGATTTTTTCACTGAGCACTCTCCTGAAAGAGAAAATGAAGAAGATGAAGAAGAAGATGGGGTAGGTACTCTAACCCTTTTGAAGAAACAGTTGCATAACATGCAAGACTTCATTCATGAATTATGTGGATTAATCATTTTCTCTTTCCGGATTTTTTCACAAGATATAACCAAAGGAAGTTGTATCACCTAATGAGAATACTGAAATGATGTAAAACTTATTGTTCAGTAATCGGCTTCACAAAAAACAACTGTTGAATCAAGCAAAATTCAATTAAATGAAGCAAATTCGAGTGTCTTATAGACATGATGAAATATAGTCTTGAAATGAGTGAATTTATATCTTGTTTCAGATCGAATTTGAAGTTTTATTCAAGTAAATATGTCTTGCATGAACTCTGAATCTAATTCAATCAAGCACATCCATGGTTCATTTAGAAAGAGTTATTGAATTGGCTCAAACAATCATTTTGTCTGATTCAAGATAACAAGATATTGATTCGATCAAATATTTAGTTGATTCAATGAAATATTCTGCTGATTCAATGGAATATATGGTCGATTCAATAAATTATTCGGTTGAAACAATGGGATATTTGGCTGATTCAATGAAATAATTTGCTGATTCAATGAAATATTTCTTTGATTCAAAAGGACCTGTGATTCCATTCAACAAATTGTATTGTTGAACCAAATCAATATTGCTTCGAGAGTTTCCTGAAATTTCACATCAATAGAATAAACTAACCTAGGAGTTTGGTTTATTCAGCTGATATTTCAAACACGAAGAATCAAGCTTCACGTGATTAATGAATTGGAGGCAGGCATAGACTAGGCGAAAAGATCGCCATATAGTGGCAAAAATTTGAGTTGATGTTAAATGAACAAAATATATCGTTGATATAACACATATCTCGTTGCTCAATTTAAGCAAATGACGCGATAATTGCTACATCTGAACAAGAAAACTTTTATATTGTTTCAAAGATATATTCCCATCAAAATAATCATTATTTCATCATATCAACGAGATATTGATAGTTGAATCGACATCGACATCATATTGGATCGACATAATTTGTTTTTGAGATAACCATATAGTTGATGGAATTGATAACATACTGTTGATTCAATCAAATTTCATTCTTGATTCGAACAAGCTGCTTTTATGAAATTTCATGGAATTCAATGAAAAATTCCCAGAACAACAAGAATAATTCAAGCATAAATCATTTTTCGATGCAACAATTCCATTTTTACCGTGTAAACACTATTTTTCAATAATCTAATAACCACTGCTAGACATAATACACATCGAGAGGATTTGCTGAATGATCTGGAGTGAAAGGTCATTTGACTCATTTATGAAATGCTAAGCAATATCTCACCTTGTACGGAATAGGCGAGTGCCAAAAAAGCGAAGATTCTCAAGGCAATCATATTTCACAGGTAGTCACTGCAAGATGAAGTATCAACTGACGATTTGCTAATTGAACATAAGAGTTTATATACATTCATTCGAGTACTGATAACTAAAGTACAATGACTTGCTTATCATTCGAGAGGGTTTCAAAGTCTTAAAATGATTGAAAAAATGATTAACTACTTCAAAATGGAAAAAAAAAATTTGATCTATCAGCATAAAACCTCAATATTGAAATAATTGAAGACTCTAGTATTTTCGAAAATTTCGAGTTATAATTTTCAGGAATAAAAAAAAAACTATTTGGCAAATTCATTTTTGGAAACTTATATTCGATGGAAAGCTCATCATGAAAAAATCGAAATCTTTCAATACCATTGAAATGAAAAAAAATCGGAAATGGATATATTATCTCGATACTGCGTTTTCGAAAGTGATTCGGAAGTTTTTTATATGTAAGTAATATTCACTGACAGAGCTCCAAAAAATCATTGTGCCAAATAAATGTATTTTTTCTGTGACGGGAAAAAAGTTTGGCGGGTTATGAGATGTCACTTTTCTTAAATTACTTCTTTCCCGTGGAGAAAAAGTGAGTACTTTTTTTCCGGATATATATCATATATAAATACACTGTTGATGGCTCTTTTGTTGTGCTATAGATCCGAAAAATGAGTCAATAATACCGTCTCCGGAAAGAACTGCAAGTCCTTCTATCTTCCATTCGACTTCGGAGTTACGTATATCACTAAACAATCACTAAATTCGCAATTTTTTGGAATCAAATCACATAATTAAAATGACAGAAGTGACATCAGATATTTGATTACCTCGAAAGAATGATAAAGATGCCTACAACGCAGGTGTCCCTACTGTTAAAAACTCAAAACTTCACGTCGATAAATTTCAGATTTCAAAATTATGTATTATCTTCTCAATATTGATTCTCCCTTTTTCTTGTCACAGAACAAAATAGTGTTTTATACACGGGAAAAATATTATATTTTAGCTCAATGTTTTTTGTCTCCCTCCGCTACGCGTCGGGAGACAAGTCAACCTGGAGCTAGGATCTACTACTTTTTCCCTTTGTATAATAAATAACTATTTATTCTGGAGAATTATTCGGTAGAGAATTATTCGATTATCAACTTCAAATAGTCATTGATTATGTCAATACAGAGGTTTCATGCATGTTATAGGTTCCGGAGAATAACAGCGATTATTTCCTCCGTATGATTCTCAACCAATTAGAACGAATTTACAGGGTGGTTTGTTGAAAACGAAACAGAGGCTCTGTAGGCCGCCAGAACCAGATAATCAAAAAAATCTGGAAAAAGTCGACTACATGTTCGAGGAGAACATCGTTCTGGTATATTTTGAGCCCTGCGGCGTTGCCGCTTCTAACGAAAAGAAGCAAAAACTTTGTTATTTCAAATGAAACAACATGGATTTCCTAGCATTTCTAGGTTCTCCCCGTAGAGCTGATTTCATCAAAGCATCACATTCGGGGTCTAGCTGAAATGATTTTAGGGATATAGTGTTTTCAAAATCGAAACTATTCATTATTGGACAAAATATCTCTCCCAACTCTTAATTTACTATCTACTGACATTCATTTGGAACAGATACAGGGTGATCAGATTTCTGGATTTCGAACCACCCTGTATTTGTGTCATTTAAATGTCAGTAGATAGTGAATCGGAAGTTGAGATAGCGTTATATGAGTCGCTTTTTCACCAATTATATGAATAGTTTCGACACAAAGAAATCCGAAAGTTGAAGAATATCGATTTTCAACACCCTATAGCTCTGTGATGAAATCAGCTCTTCGAAAAAAATTCAAAAAATGCAAAGAAATACAAGGTGTTCCATTTGAAATAACAGAGTTGTTGCGTCTTTTCGGTAGAAGCGGCAACGCCGCAGGACTGAAGATATTTTAAAACAATTTGCCCCTCGAAAATTCAGTTGACATTTTCATAATCCGGTTTGGGCGACCTACAGGGCCTCTTTTTCGTTTTCAAAGGGCCACTCTGTACATAAAGTAACTCTTCTAGAAATCAGGAATTTAGAAATATCATAGTTAAAATTCCATATCGTTACATACAAACGTTCGTTTAGAACTACTAAGAAAATAATCGCATCGAATGCAATTCGAACGTCAAACTATTGAAGGTTCTGAATCGCAAACTTCCTGCATAATTATTGCAGTACCCGCCTATGGAAAGGCATCTGACTCGACTCATATACTTAGTGACTAATATAGTTTTATGTAATGTAAACGGTATAAGGTAGGATTAATGATTATTCATCTAGAGAGCGTAAAGACAAGTGGTATTACTGAGAAGCTGATTATAAGTGTTTATTGTACGTCTCAAGTTTATCATTGCGATCCTACCCCAAGTAGCATACTACATCAGAAGTGGTGAACAAACAAAAAACAGTGTGAATAGTGCGGTGAAGAATGCCAAGGCGCGAGAAGAGATCACGGAGGCGATCTCCACGACACAGAAGAAGCTCTTCCAGATACAGAAGAAGCTCATCCAGAACAAGTGATGAGCACCAAACACATAAAAAAAAATCCAGGAAAGCTTCAGAAACACGAACAAGCCAACCTGTAAGTCAAGCCAACTCTGATATGCCGCAAATTATTAACGTACAGCCAAGTTCTAGTATTGTTTTATCTAGTATAATTCCTGAGTTTGATCCAATGAACATGGAAATTTCCGACTGGGTAGAAATCATACAACATAACGCTAATGCATACCATTGGCATGATAGCTTCATTGTTTATCAAGTAGTTAATAAATTGAAAGGTACTGCAAGAACCTGGTATGAGAGTTACATTCAGTGTGAATTAGGGTGGTCTCAAAATACTTGGGCAGATTGGAGACAGTTATTGTGTTCTACTTTCCAAAGTACAAGAAATGCATACGAATTATTTATGGATGTTGCTAATCATAAACCAGCAATAGGAGCATCATTGTATGAATTTCACTTTGACCACTTGTCGAAAATAAATAAATTAAAACTCAATTTCTCCGACTCTGACAAGGTGTCTCTCATAATGGGTGCTATAAATGATCCTAACCTAATATCAGCTGTTGAGGCATCGAATATTCGAGACCCCAACAAATTGGGGGTATATCTCAAGAATAAAACATATACAAAAGTAACGGTCGAAAACCAGAGATGTTTTCCACAGCCAACACCGAGCAGTAGTCACTCAAAATCTTCCAATAGAATTACTAACGATAATATACATTCAGTATGTAGTTGTTGTGGCAGAATGGGCCATAATCGAGATAGTTGCCGACACAGAAATAAAATATGCAATTTTTGTACAAGAAAGGGACATATTGAAACTGTTTGTTTTAACAAAAACAAATCAGCAAGTACAAGCAAACAACAAAACAAAAGAGATATTTCTAACGACAAAAGAAGACAGAAAGATTTCAAAATGGAAAACGTAAAATTAATTCGAGATAATCATACGACTTCTTCAAAATTTTACAAAAAAATTCATATCAATGGCAAGGAATGTACGGCGTTTATTGATTTCGGAAGCGATTGTTCTATTATAAAATCGCAAGTAGCAGAAAAACTACATTTAAAGATTGAACCACTAAAACAGTGGGTTAGGTTGTCCGGGTTTTTAGGAACAGAAACAACTGTAACTCATTTTACGGAAAATTTAACACGTATCGACGACGTTACGCTGAACATAGTGTATTACGTAACGAAAGACGAAAATATCGATAATGATATTTTGATTGGTACTAATTTTACAGAAAATCAAGATATCATCTATTACCGCGTTGATGACGTGTTAACTTTCCAGAACAAAGTGAAAACTCCTCAGTGGCTGGAAAACATCAAATGCGGAATTTTAACGGAATTCGAAAAATCTCAACTGGACAAAATTTTACTTGAACATGAAAAGTGCATGTTTTCCAATTTGAATCACCTTGGAAAAGCACACTCCGTTTCCTTGTCTGTAGAAGTAACTACTGATAAGCCTGTCACCCATCGACCATATCGGTGTGCCGAAAAAGATAAACAAATCATCAGAGCCAAAATAAAAGAATTATTAGAAGCCAAAATTATTAGAGAAAGTAGGTCACCCTATTCAAGTCCAGCCCTACTAGTAAACAAAAAAAACGACGAAAAAAGAATGGTAGTTGATTATCGTGCACTCAATAAAATAACAGTGAAAAATAGCTTTCCTATGCCCTTAATAGAGGAAATTATTGATAATTTAGGAGACTATAGTTACTTCACATGTATAGACTTGGCTTCAGGTTACCATCAAATACCTATGGAACCCAAATCAATTCCTTACACAGCATTCATAACGCCAGAAGGGCATTATGAATTTTTGAGGGCCCCATTCGGCCTGTGTAATTGTCCATCAGTTTTTCAGCAATTTATGAACGAAATTTTTCAGCCCTTGAGGGAATTCCACGTGATACCTTATCTTGATGATATAGTTATCCCATCCAAGTCAAAGGCTGAAGGACTAATATTATTAGAAAAAGTGCTAAATATACTCGTTGAATATGGTCTAACATTGAAATTGACGAAATCTGTATTCTTGGTACAGGAAATAACATATCTGGGTTATCAAATTTCTTTAAATCAGATCTCTCCTTCGAAATATAAAACGGACGCAGTTTCCAACTTCCCAATACCCAAAACTCAACATCAGCTGAGGCAGTTTCTAGGCCTAGTTGGATTCTTCCGGAAATTTATAAATGATTTCGCTAGATTAACAGCCCCCCTTACGAGTTTGTTGAAGAAAAATTCTAGTTGGAAATGGTCCGATACACAAACCGAAATTGTGAATGACCTCAAAAGTAAAATCTGTTCACAACCAGTATTATGTATATTCAATCCTAAATTACCAATAATAGTTTACACAGATGCGAGTCGGGACGGATTCGCAGGTATACTAGTTCAAAAATATGACAAGAAAGAAAGACCAGTTGCGTTTTTCAGCAAGCAAACCATCGATGCAGAAAAA